TCCTTTTGGGGTGGTGACAGGACTGTGTTGTAATTAGGACTATATCATCTCCTGGGAGAGGCCAGGCAGGAAAGCATGAGCATTGCTTACTCTCAGTACTTAGAAAAGAGGCAAGTGAAGGAGCTGTGCATGCTGAGCTGGAGCAGCTTGAGGATTTGTGCCCTGGGAGAACACTAAACAGCTCTCCTGAAACCTCTGCTCATTGTCAGAGACTGACCTTTAGCTCTTCCATGTATGTGGCACAGAACAGCTGAAATAGCAAGAGATGGGCAACCGAGATAAATTAATGTTGGGGAAAATCATGCTAATAAATTCCTTCTGACTCATCCTATTCCTAAATTCACATCCAGACTGGGATCTACCAGTGAGATAATGACAATTCCAGCAGTGTTCAGCAACCAGCTGCATTGAAAGCAAAGCAAAGATTTAGCTGGGGACTCTTAAAAGGGACATCCGTGCTGGGTATCACACAAACCTCCCTGGAGGAGAGAGCTGAGCAGAGCTTAAGGAGTTCTGGAATGAGGTCCCTGGTTATAATACACAGGTCTGGCAGGACTCCTGTCCTGAAAATCTTAGTTGAAATAGCTTGGTCATGTGGTCCCAAGTAATCAAGGCATAAGGCTGTTAAGGGCCGGTGGGAATAACAAAAGTACTTGTGCTTCCTTCTGCAAGTTGGTTTCCTTTCAAAGCTGTTGGTGTGTTGGGCCAATCTGGAGCCTTAGCTGGGTAAGGAATGAGGAGGAAGGAATGTTGCTGATGTGTAGGAAGGAGTCCATTTGTTGCTATTGAATGAGAAGCAGGTTTAGTGAGGATCTGCAGTTTGCTACCTGCCCCACTAGTCCAGGCAAGTTATGGCATCTGCAGTCTGGGGCGTGACCTCCTGCCAGCAGAGACAGAGAGTGTTGTCCCTACATCCACCAGTTCTCTGTGTCTCCTCTCTGTGTTGGAAAACTTTTCCTTTTAAGTTTGTATCCTGTTTACTGTTGCACTAGGCAGGGAGTGGGAATGTCCCTGGTGCAGGTGATCTTTGTGCTGACACAGAGCTCGCCCAGAGGGGGAGAGCTGCAGTGTTGTGGGTGAGCTGCTGGGTTGAGTATTGAGAATGCCCTTCCCCCTATTTAGCTTGTTCTGCTCCTATTTTTGTCTGTGTCTTAGATGTTTTTTTCCATTTGAAATACTTCATGGGTCATCTGTCATTTCACTGGCTGGCAAATAGATACCAATATGATCTAACATGTGGTTTAACAGGAGACCATCCTGGTGCCCTTGGTGCCAAAGCCCTGCTGCTGCAGATGTAGGTCTGAAGGAGCCCTTCTTCCCCACATGTCACCCCTCCTGTCATGCAGTATTGAAGCTTTGCAGTAGTCCTCATCCTCATGGACTGCACAGGTTTGGAGTAGCCTTTGTTTTATCCCAGAGCCCTTGGCAGCAGTTAAGGCTCTTCCAACTGCCCAGCTAACATCAGTTTTAGGTGATCCATCTTCAGCTCCACTGTTCCAGAGGCAGAGTAACAGCAAGCTGCTCTGCTGGGGTGTTTGTTTACAGTTATAAATAGCACATGCTGCTTGAATGCTTTTCAGGTTAGAGTTGAGGGCAGTTGACAGGCAGTACAGACTTAGTTACTGGGTTACTTTGGAGTTGAGCTTGACTGATAGAGCTGAAAGTCAGTTGTTAAAGGGAACAATCAAACTCTATATCAGTAAGCTAATGTGAAGCTGGATTGATGTAGTTTAAAAATGAAATGTGAGCTAGCAGCTGCCTTCAGGCTTTTCCCATGGGTGCCACAGTCTTGCCCCTTGTAGCCACTGCAGATGACAAATCAGCAGAGGGGGAGCAGCTGGCCTCCCTTTTCTGGCAAGGGACATGTTAGGGTGTTTCAGGACACAACTGTATGATGCTCCTTTGCGTCATCACAGCTGAAATTCAGATAAGGACAATAGCCCTGCAGTACTTGGGTTTATGTGTAACAACACCCAGCAGGGCAGTGATGGGGATAGGAGTAAAGGGGAATATGGGTTTTCTAATGAAAATGAAAAATTCTAATATTCTAATCTATATTAATTCAATATTTTTGAGGAATATTGGCTTAGTGAATCTGTATAGGGAAAGGTGTTGAATTAATTGGTTGGTGTGAGAAGAATGAAATGTTTTCTCAGCAAACACAGCTAACTATTAGGATTGCCTCTGCCCTGTGGTATGTACCGCAATAAGGAAATATAAATTTAATTCACCTTTTTCCTATGACACTGTGTCCTGAATCACTAGATCCATAAAAAACAGTTAGAAGCTTTCCTAAGGGTTGCATTTGGCACTGGGCTAGTCCTAGAAATAATCAAGAGCTGTTGGCTGACCCCTGTAGGAGTTGTCTCTCTTGACTGCTTCTAATTCAGCTGCTCCCTCAGACTGATTGCAAACAGAATTTGAGCCGGTTTTCCTGGAATAGCACTTCTGGTAGTAACAGGATTAAAACACTATTACTTCTTTTCTCTCCTCACAAATATATTTCCAAGAGGACTTGTCATCTATCATGGATCTTGCTACATAAACCTATCTTCTTTGGCTGACCCCTGAGCTGGCCTTATCTCCAGGAAAGCTGGTGGTACTGCAGGTCACCCTGTGCTCATGCCTTCCCACAGTGCAATTCCACATCCACCTTTGGTGCAAGTGATTCAGCGAGTCCAGCAGAATCACAGACGTCTTTAAACAGAAGTGGCTCAAAGCTCCTCTGGGTATGTACGTATGCACACATATATAAAAGGAACCCAAAACAAAAAAACCCCAGAAAGTATTCAAAGAATGAACTTGCTAATTAGCAATAATCTCACTTTGCCCTCTTGATTATGAAACACTGATAGAGCAGGCTGCTGTAACTCGGGGCTTCCCTCAAATGCTGTTTTCTGGCATAGTCAGGACCTCGCTCTCCTGTTTTTCTTAAAAAAAACCCTTCCAGCTCACATTTTTGTTCAAACAGTCATACGCTCCATGTAGTTGCAGTTGTTTTCAGTATTGCTGTCATGTCTTTCTGCAGACTGAGATGTCAAGCCTGAAAGCATTGTTCTCCAAGCACCATCTCTTGGATAACCCACACTCTCCCCAGCATGGCTTTTGCACACAGGGGTCTCCCTTCAGCTGCACACTCAGCACCCACCCTCCCACTGGGGGTTTCAACCAAGCCAACAATTCCCTGCAAGGCACTCAGTGAAGAGGATTTTGCCTTATGGGGTCGTGTGACTGAGGTGCTGGGCTGGGATTTCTTCAGTTTTTTCCTCAGTTTCAGTTCTTTTGTGTCTTTCTTCCCCTTGACAGACATGAAGGTGTCTTAGGGAGCGTTTTGAGTGCTAATGTCTCAGTGATTATAAAGTGTATTTCTGTGGGGCTGACTTCTTTCATATTGGGAAGGATGTTGAACCATGTGGCTACTATCTGGAACAGGCTTGGCTCAATGGCTTACTGCTAATTGAGTAAGTAAGATCAGAATTAGACTGCTAAACATTGCTTTAGGACAGAAGACTGGGATTACAGGGCTAAAAATTGCTTCAGAGGGGGAACTTTGGCTTTTCTGCTAAGTTGCTACCTCACAGTGCCTAAAATCCTGACCTCAGAGTCTCTGGTCATGTTCAAGGGTTCAGTTCTCTGTGTGCTTGAGCTACTGGTGTTGGTGGGTTTCCTAAGCCCAGAATCACGTTCCCAGGCTGCATTGATGGAAAACATGTTGCTGGCACACGTGTATTGCAAAAGGTTGGGATGTGTCAACATAGCATTGAGGATTGTTGCTCTTATCTCCATTGTATTTATTAACCTGGGTCTAACTTGAGTTCTTTCATTCTGCTGCCTTGTTTTTGCAATTCAAAAATTGAGTGAGAGAGCGAAATGAGGGGACTTCCAGTTGGCTTGAACTGGTAGTCTCTTGTCCTTTTCTAGGAAATGACCTTCGGTTTGATTGGAGACAAGTCTTCATTTGTAAAAGCATGTTTCTTTTCTCCTGGTTTCTCTAATTCTTGCCTTCACATGCTTCTCACATATATGTTCCTGAAGCTCCTTGGAATGCAGTGATTAGCTGGTACTTAGAAGGAACTGTTGTCTCACCATGGCTGGATGGGGAGGCAGCAGTCAGTGAATGCAAAGGGCAACATGTTGGATGCTGTGGTTTTGTATTTTTGTTTCCTCCCATCCCTTTTTTCCTACTGGAGGGCTCTGATGCGTTTGCCAGATGGAGCTCCCAGTGACAGATAATTGGTTTAGCAGATACCTTACCTTTTATGCAGCTGGGATGTCTCCTCTTCTCAAAACCAGCCGGGTCATTGTGTGAAAGGGTAAAGCAAGCATTCCTTCATAAGTCCTGCTTACCATCAGGGCCTAGTTTAGTGCTGTGGAATTGGATATGGAAGGGATGGGACACCAGAGACTCTGCAGGAGAAACTAAGTCTATGATTCCCTAATGGAGTGTTAGTCCCTCTTGTGGACTTGAGATGTGGCTGACGATGACAGAAGAGTTGGGATCATTTAGCTGGAAAGTGACAGCTTTCCTATTCTGACACTTTTGCTTACTAGCTTATGATCCGTTTTCCTGTCTGGAAAAAGATGCTTACTAGAAAAGTTTTAGTGGAATATGTTTTGAAGTAGATTTATCCATAAGCTCAAAGCTGTTGAAGTGTCAGACTTGTTTTCTTTCTTAGTCTGTTTTCACCAGCTCTTTACGGACCAGTGCAATAGGATCTAAAAAAAGTATGAGGCCTTAGTCAGATGCACAGAATCTTCTTTGACTTCACAAAACATAAGGGGAGTGTGACTCTTTGTTATGGGGGTGTGTGAGGGCCAAGACAGCAAACTTCCATGACTTCTGTAACACCCCCTGTAAATAACCTCTTGGTTTGAGTTATGTAGTAGCCAGTGGGGAGAAACCTCTGGGGAAAGCTGGGAATGAGACTTTTCTGTGCCTAGTTTTGTAAAGGAGAAGACTGGTTTTGGTAGCATTTCATGGTGCATTTGTCTTGTTGCAGGTGAGGCTGGTGCCAGCATTATTCGTGCGTCAAAAGAAGCCCGGAAGAGGTTCTTGGGCCCACTCCATCCCTCTTTCAACTTGGTGAAGACCATTCGGATGTGCCTGTACAAGATGGTGCCAGAGAATGGGCATGAGGTTGCAGCAGGACGTTTGGGTATTTCCCTGACGCGGGTCTCTGATGGAGAAAATGTGATATTGTCAGACTTCAATTCCAGGGAGGAACTGATCCAGGTGAATGGATTCTTACTGCAGAGGGCTGGGCAGGAAATGTGTGCTGTTTTGTTTTGCCTTGGTCTCCAAATGTCCTTAGTACTGGAGTATAATTGTCAGCACATGCTAGCATGGTGTTCTGAGAACAGTAATAGTTTCAGTAGGCTTTGATCTGATTCTTAGATTCTGGATCTCTTTCTCCCTCAGGCCTGTGTCTGCAGCACCTTTATCCCTGTCTATTGTGGGCTGATACCTCCAACCTTGCGTGGAGTGGTAAGTAAGATTCTAAGATGTTCCTTCATTAAATTGCATGCTAATGAGTAGGTTTTGATAATGTTAGTGTGTGCCAGCTGGCAGCACTTATCTGAAGAGACACAAGAAATTCCCAAGTAAACAACTTCCAGCAGTGGATAGGCCTTCTTTCCAGTGCTGCCCACAATTGACTATAAATGTCCCAAAGACCAGTGGATTTAACATATAGTAATACATAGCAGTCTGGGGAAGGGCTGGCTGGCTTAGCAGAGTGTTCTCATAGCTGCATGGTACAACACTTTCTATCACTGAGGCTCCAGCTGTCTGTGGAAAGGAGTTGGCCCAGGATAAAAGTCATGAGTGTAGTCCCTCTCCCATGTGCCTGACACTTTCTGCAGGGCTTTAACTACTAGTGTTGTGGATACTGGCCCTCTTTTCCATGGAGTTCTTCCTGTCCTTTCTCTGAGAATAACGTTCTGCTGCATGCCAGAGCTTTCTTTTAATTGTGTCCAAGGCTGTCCAAGAGCAATTTATCTCTCTGTGTTTGCATGTTAGAAATGAAAACATGTGAAAGCTGTGTAGAGCTGCAGCATTTCTTGATATTGCAGTCATGCTTTAAGGGCCTCCTGGTTGAGCTTGGCCTCTTTCATGCTACACAATTTAATGAACATGTTAAAAGGCAGGGGTTTTGCGAACTACACTGTCAAAAGTGAGTGGGAGAACTGCTATAAAATATGTACCCTGATTTACCTTAAGTGATCTGACCAAAGTGTCTCAGTCTGTCAGAGCACAGCATCACATCTGCTCTGATTGCTACCTGTGTCCTAAAAGTGAGGTCAGTTTTGCTCCTGCATAATACACAGCTTGGCTGGTTTTGTCTTGTGCAACCATGTTGGTCAGGAACATGACCTGGAGGAGATGTCCAGTGTTACCCAGCCCTTCAGAGAAGTGACAGAATCAGTAATGGTTTGGTATTTGCTCAGCAACTGCAGGCAGGGCTTTTTCCCTTCAGCTGGTGAGACCATAGCAGTGGCTCTTGTCTTACATCTCTTTGGGGATAATTGAGGTCAGTGTGCATCAGGCAGAATTCTCACAATTCCAAAACTGTGTACAACATCAGGGTTTCTGGAATGTACAGCTGCCATGGCACACTGAGGGATGACTTCTCATGGGAAAAGGTGGGGAGGAAATATGAGATGAGGAAATTTAATTCCTACCTCTTCCCCAGAAAAGCATTGCACTGAAGGGGGATTGCTGATGAGGTGAGAGGTTAAATTGGGTTGGGTATGCACTTGGGAAATGGTTTTGAAACAGGAATGCATGTTTCCTAGCATGCCTGTGGTGACTGTATTTACCACAGGATAAACTGACAGGCCTGGCACAAGGACTAGTTTTCAAGGCAATGTTATTGTGTGCAAGGTGAAAAATCTGTATTTTGCCTTCCTCCTAAATTTTTTCCAGTGTTCACTTCTCTGAGATCTGGTATCCTTATGGAGTGGATGATGGAGATGGGGAGTTAAAAAAAACCCAGCAACTTAAATATTGAGAAATGGAAAAGTCAGTAACTGACCTGTCAACACACACTATAGCTATGAATTGTCTGCAGCATGTGGATGAGATGAATCCCTGGCAAGGGCCACAAAGCTGATTGTCAAATCATATGAGTGAGGGGCCCTGTGCATGGGAGGACATAAGGGAATGGAAGTGGGTACCCCAGTCTATGAACCATCCCCTAAAGCTGCTGTTGCTCCTGCCTGCAGGCAGCTGGTGGCTCCAGCCTGTGGCTTTGGGCTGTTCTGGGCTTTGCAGGAGGCTGGAGAGTGGTTACAGTTGGGTTCCTGGAGGTTCAGGCAAATCCAAAGAAGTGGCAGCTGAGGTTTGCTGAGGAATGTTAATCAGCATTGCTGGGAATCAGTGAACCAGAGAGTGGGGTGTGCAAGTGTACTCCTGTATTTCTATGGAGTCAGAAGGCTTTGCCTGTCAGCTCTGTTGTAGCTGAGCCTTTTTTCTGATGGCATCTCTGCAGTCATGCTGCCACCCTCAGGGAAACGAGTCTTCTGCATCCTTAGTGTAAGACTAATATTGTCCAGCACTGAATCTTACCTCCCTTTTCTTTAAACAAAGTGCTTGCTGCCTGCTTTGGTCTGTTCTCATTCCACTCAGCATGTTGGAATCTCATCCTTGCAAAGGGAGTCAGGTGGACGTCTCCAGCTCTAGCTGTGCCTAGTCTGGCTGTCAGTGGAGCAGCTTTGGGAAGAGGATGAAAATGGCAGCTTACTGTGGTTGCTTTAGGCTTAGGGAACACCGATGCCCACTTTAGAAGCAGGAGAGGGTTCAGTTGACTGTTGGTAGCTCTGTTATTGGAAAACATCTTGTGAGCAAGCTGTGTTACTGTTTCTGAGAGGATGTACTTATCCTTGAGTTTAATCTATCCTATCCTTGAGTTTAATCTATCCTATCCTTCCACTTTCTTCACTATCCAAATTCAGGTGGTGTTGGAGTCTCTAAGTGCCTGTCTTGACACAGTGTTTGGTGAGCAAGGGCTGCCATGAGGATAAAATGTCCTGTGCTCTCAGTTTGGGCTGCTGTAGCCTACAACTGTAAACTGTAATTGTAAACATTGAAGCTGTAGTCTGTATGCAAAGGTAGCCCTGAGGTTTAGCTTGCCTCCTAAGAAGGCAAACTGCCGTGCAGTCCACTGTTGAGATGAAGAACGAGGGATGGGACCACCTTTCTTTGAGATGGTTTATTGCTGCTCAAATAGCCAGATAAGGTATCAGTCTCAAGGCGTGAGATTTAGAGGAGCAACAAGTCAGCCATAGCTCAAGGAAGACACAAGTTTCTTCTTCACACAGCAATATATAACATTTTAGCCAAATAGGCAGTTGACATAAAGCTTGTTTTCACTTGTTTAACCGATCACCTTTATTTATTTTTGCTATACTGTGTCTCTCTCTTAGCCTATAAGCTGACAGGTCACATGCACACCTCTGTTACAGTTTTTGGATCTCTAGCCTATTCTATAAGTCACTATTACAGCTTAAACCTCAAACTATTTTATCTAATATAATTTCTTACCTACTTAAGATATATTCTTACTTATAACTATAGGAACATAAGTTTATAATTTCTCTACCCAATGTCTGTGCACCTTCATCATTACATTAATCCAAGCTCTTTCCAAGGCTGCAGATTGAACCCTTCAGCATCTGTAGAAGTTTCTATTTTTTGGTTTCCAACAGTCTACCCTAACTCTGTTGTCTCAATGGCAGCCGGCTTGCTATAGCTGAATTTAATTGCCTTCAGCCCACGAGCCTGTGAACTGTTCCCCAGGCTCAGAGAAGCTGCTTGAGGTCTCTGTCTTGTCTGCCATCCAGAGCAAGAGAGAACAAAGTGCAAAGCATCCTCCAGACAACACCTTTGGTGTTTTCCTAGGCACTGTGCAGCAAAAGAGCGATGTTGGTGGTCAGTCTGCCTGTGAGACAACAGGAAGCAGGATGCAGAATGGAGCATTTCCTCCTTCAATCATCATTCATCGGCTCCTCACCCAGCAGAGAGCTGAAAGAGGTTTACAGTTGCTACTTGTGGGGCTGCATAGCCCCTCTATGATTTGTCTTTGAGTATGAAGGAAATGGATCCAGGCAGCAAACTGCAGCATCAACCCTGATAAGAAACCAGCAGAACTCTTCTGTAACTGAGGTTCACAAGAGCTGGAATTGTTGCCCTGCAAAACCCCCAGCTTCATTCTCTTTTGGCTTGATTGACATCCTTTTCCTTTTATCTTTTGCATGTTGCTTACTCTGCCAAAACCTGTGATAATGATCATCTTGCTTAGCTTCTTGTGCAATTACAGTATCCAACGAATGTTTTGAGGACTGGGGTTGCCCTTCCTGCGAGGGTAATGCAAATGTGTTCATGGTACAGAAGTACAGAACATTCTCTGATAAGAGGGTGCCTGTTAGGAGCAAAACCCAAGTCCCTTGTGCTCTGTTATCAGACCACAGCAAGCTGATTCCCAATGTGTATGCATGTGTTGGGATTCCTGCTGGATAAGCCCACTAGCAACAAATCAGCTGGCTTTATTCATAGGTAACAAACCTGCCAGTGGGGACTTGTATCTGAGCTTATTCGTTTTAAACACAAGTGAAAAATGGCACAATGTCACAGTGTGACAGCTTAGATCAGTGCTAATTTGCACTGTAGGTGCTTGTTGGTGTGTATTATTATTTAATTGAACAGCAGTCAGACTGCATAGGAGATGCAAGTCAGCAGTCACACAAGTGAATGTGCCTTTCTTACTCGACTCCTGTGAGCAGCACAGTCAATGAAGAAAAAGCACACAGCAAAAGGGGTTGTTATAAACAACAGAGAAGGGGTTGTTATAAATCACAGCTGTGCTATCACGGGTTTTTACTCCTTCAATACTGGTGGATGTATTCCATTCTCTTCCCAAGTTGTTGGCACAAACAGGAAGGAAAAGGGACACAGAGTAAAAAAGCTACTCTATCAGTTGTGAGAATGACGATTGCTGCATTTGTCTTGATTTCAGAGATATGTTGATGGAGGGATTTCTGACAATTTGCCCCAATATGAGCTGAAGAACACAATCACGGTGTCTCCTTTCTCGGGAGAGAGCGATATCTGCCCACGGGACAGTTCCACAAACATGCATGAGCTGAGAGTCACCAATACCAGCATCCAATTCAACCTTCGCAACCTCTACCGCCTCTCAAAGGCCCTGTTTCCTCCGGAGCCACAGGTGAGTTTCCTGGCCACACCAGAACTTGGGGACCGCAGATCTTGGGCACTGGCTATACTGTGTGCACTTTAGCAGGAGAAGATTCAGGACACTTAGTTTTGTATCTTGTGCTTTGTCTTTAATCTTGACATCATCAACCCAGTGACTCACTAAACCTTGAGCACCTGCAAAAGGGTTTGTCTTCTTTTTCTACTTGAACATCTGAAATTTAGGTAGTAGCAGTTACTTAGAAAGTATTCCCATGTTGCCCTCTCTAGAGTAGTCTTTGCCTGGAAATCAGGCTCACTGTAAATAAAGATGTATTGGCCATCAAGAACCAATGTGCACTTCAGTGTTTTAAGGCAAGGATAGAGCTTCAAGTACGAAGCCTTTCTACTGTGTCAGTGTAGCAAGTGGCACTGCAAACTTTGTGTACTTCTGAGAAGATGCAAGTGCCAGATAGCCCTGACATTTGGACGTAATAAGCATGTATTCATGCACTGAATTACTTGGGCAAGTTCTTTCCCACCCCCTCTCTAGTCTTAGCTGGCTTTATCTGCAAACACAATGGCCCTTCCTGCCATTTGCAGGGAAGTATTCTGGGCTGCTTGTCAAGAGTGACTGCCTGGAGGCAGCACACAGCAGCATCAGCTATAGATGGGGCAATGAGGTAGCTGCAACTCTATGCCCACACTTAAATAGGATTCTAGGTGTCCCTTCCAATCTAAATTGTCTTGTGATTCCCATAGCCAATGTATTGATACTATAACTCCCATTCCTGCTCAAAGCCTGCATAAGGCTGGCAGGAATGAGACTTGTTCTTGGGATAGCTCTGGAGTCAGGAAAATTCCTCTGAAGCCAGCATTGTGGTAGGTGTTTGCTCAGCCAGATTCCACATGAAACTGTCCTTCCTCTGCCCACAGGTGCTGCGGGATATGTGCAAGCAGGGCTATCGAGATGCACTGCATTTCCTGAAGAAGAATGGTAAGGCACTAGCTATTTGCAGGGTGCACTGACTTGCCTGTTCTGTGCCACGCTTGGTGCCTTGGCTTTGAGAGTAGTTGATGGTGCATATGAAAGGAGGAAGGGAAGAGCTGAACTGTGCCTAAGATACTAGGGTATGGAATTCTCATTAGTAAGTCTACTTCAGCCCTTTAGGGAGGAGAGGTGGAGGGGTGACCTTTGCAGTTACCGACACAGTTGCTGGGCAGCAGTGCCATTTGGACGTCCTGCAGATGCCCTGCAGCTCCCCGTGTGCAGCTGGGTCTGTGTGGTGCTGCCCTCAGAGCCCCAGTGCCGGACACTTGGGCGCTGCTCTCCTGCAGCGCTGGGTGTGCTCTTGCTGCCACCTCGTGTCCATGGACAGTGATGCGGACCGGGATAAGTGGGATTGCACTGCAGGAAGGAAATCTTGCCTACAAGATGGGTGACTGGCAGATCATAGCAACAAAACAGCACCCTGCAGAACGTAAAGGGGAGAAATGTGAGAGCTTGTAATGAGGAAGGAGAGAATGAACTTAAGCCTGCATGTTTTATCTGCTTGTGGTGAGCATTACAAGAGATGTAAGATGAAGAGGCTGGGTATGACCTCAGCCTGAGGGGAGTTAGGGTGAAGCAAGGACTAACACTCTAAAAGGCCAGGCAGGGCAGCTGGTTTCTGTCATCCTTACAGTATAACTTCTCTTCTCAGGTCTCCTGAATCGTCCAAGTCCTGCCCGTCCTCTCCTTGCCATAGAAGCACCTCCAGGAGAGAAGAAAGAGGAAGAAACTGAAGCTGAGGACCAACTAGAGGACAGCACTGCTCTTGCTGTTGTTGAAGAGCACATCTTCGAACACTTGCCTCCCAGACTGAACCAAGGTATGATTCAAAGGGAGAGATCACAGGTAATCTTCCCATGCTGCCTGGTCTGCCTCAGAAGATTACTGGGATGTGTGGTTATTGTGTATGGCTGGGATTGAAATGACACCTCCTGCAGGTTAGATGTATTGGGGGTCTCAGATAAAGTCGGAGCTCACACTGTGGAGGCTGGACTGGGAGAGCTTGATTCATTTGACAGTGCTCTGCAGGGTAAGGAGGGGAGGGGGTCTTGATGCTCACTCCTTTAGAGTCTGATTAAAGGTGAAAGCTGCTGGTTTTGGCTGTGCGCAGGAATTGCTAACCTGAGCAAGACTTCCTAAGAAGTGGGAGGTAGCTGCCTCAGGCTGAGTAACTTCTGAGGTATGATGAGAAAAGAGAGTCCCACTGGGGATATTCAACCATGTTTTCTTCTGCCTTCAGCTCTCCTGGAGGCCTGTGCTGAAAGAAGAAATTTCTTGACTGGCCTCAGCAACATGCTGCCTGTGCGTGTGGCCACAGCCATGATGGTCCCCTACATGCTGCCTCTGGAGTCTGCAGTTTCCTTCACTGTCAGGTAAGCCTTGGGTTGGTCCCTCAGTGGTGCTCTTCCCAGCGCAGACAAATATTTGATGTAGCTGTAGTGTTTGAATGGACAGAGAGTGGGATTCTCTCTTAATTCTGCACTGCGGGTTTTCCTGGGGAAGGAGCTCCTGACAATTACCAGACATGAATAAAAAAACCAAACAAACCAAGCCCCACAAAACCAGAAAAACCAAGAACCCAAAACTTCTCTTATCTTCCTATGTCATTTAGTTACAGCCACTGCTTCCAGCTTGAAGGAAGATTACTGTGTGCTAGAACTTGCCCCAGGAAATGGTGATAAATTTTTGAGCCTTAAGAGAGACTTGAAGATGTCACTGGTGTTCTTTTCATTGTATTCCCTTGCATGGCCCAGCTAATGATTGTCTCCTGTGTCTGTACAGGTTGCTGGAATGGCTCCCAGATATCCCTGAGGATATAAGATGGATGAGGGAGCAGATGACAGAAATCTGCAACTATCTTGTGAAGAAAGCCAAGAAGAAACTGGGCAGCCATCTTTCAGCCAGGTATGGCTGCTTTTCTTCACAGCAGTGTTCTGTAGGAGCCCTTCATTTCCCCTTACACCTTTGAATTCTAGAGACTCTAGTCTCTACAGCAGAGCAAATAAGGCACAAATTGACCGGAAGGATTTACCTCTTGCACTGAAATGCAAATTTGGTTCATTGTTTCTTGGCTTCCTCAGCTGTTGGATAGACTCAGCATGTGGTTCCCTTCCTTTGCCCTATTATAGGGCAGACCCTGTAATGGAGCTGTCACTATAGCAGTAGGTTAGAAGTCTGATTAAAACAGTATGCCAGCTTATTTCATGCTCCATATAGAAGACAGAGGTGTTTGTGGCATTTTCTGGCCCAGGATCCCCTGAAAGTGCTTTCCAAGAAGTACTTGTGTTCAAATGACCTCCTCTACCTGAATATCTCAGCCTGGTTTTTGGGGAGGGAATATGGTGGCCAGGGAACACAAGAGAGTTTCCAAATGAGACTTGAGTTGTCTGGGCCTGTGTGTGTGCCTGTGCTTCTGACTGAACTCCTGCAATAGCCCCTGGCTTGAAGCTGTGGCAAGACTGCTGTCTGGATGAGAATAGGAAACTCTCACAGTAGTAGTCAGGGGGTCGCAGCTGTGATTTGATTCTAGTACAGAGGTGTGATTCTTACCCAAAAGAGTTCATGGTCTGAATAACTGAGAGATGTGAGGGAGAAAAATGGCACACTGAGACTTCTCACTAAAGTAATGTAGTCAATTTAGTACAAAACAAGACTGTGGTACTGCAGCTCTAGTCTGGTGACCTGCTCAAGTCTTCCCATGTACTGAGTCTTTGCATGTATTTTCAGGCTTTACTACCACCTCGAGCTCGGAGGGCCCCAGAAGCTGCCAATTTCTCCCCCGCCACCTTGTGGTGAAGCACTGCCCACGTGGATGAGAAGCAACCGCTCGGTTTCTGATGTCATGATGAAGTGGGAGGAGTACCAGCGCCAGCTCATGCTGGGCTTGCTCTGCATCAACGTGGACATGCAAGCCTCCCTCTTCCCTCGGGAAGGGTTTCAGTTAAAGCTTCCACCTCTAGGCTGTGCAAAAGAGTGCCTGCCACTCTTCTGAGCCTGCTGCTGTCGGGGGATGAGGGTGGGTGGGAAGGGGAATGGACATAGGGTGGGACCAGTCTCATCCCTCAGCAGCAGGCTGCTCTGTGCTCCTGAATATGCTGCAAAGGGGATTTCCCCGGGATGGAGACTGGTGGAATTGACTGTAGCCATTTATTGCCCACTAGGCCAAGCAAGGGACCTTTGTGTTCACACACACAGGCTGATTCCTTGCTCTAGACTTGTGGTGAGGCATGGCCATTGCCTGTGGCCAGGCTGATGCTGACCCAGCTGGGCTCTCCCAAGTAGTGCACTTTGAATTGCCACTGGTTTTTTACCGCCAAATAACCAGGATGTAGATGACGCTCTCAAGTTCATTCAGCTTTTACCTCCCCTGGTTTTTCAGAGCATGTGTCTTGATTCCTCTCCTTAAATCATTTGTCAACCCTTAGATCTTTGTGCTACTGAAAGATGAGGTAGCCTCTTGCCAAACCAATTTTTCTCATGGGTTTCAAATCTCCTCTTGACTTTCTTCTTTGCTGAAACCATGTCCTTTCTTCTCTCCCTTAATTGTGTCCACACTGGAAGCTGGAGCTGGTCCTGCAGCAGACTACACTGGAACTGCAGAAGTGTAGAAAATTTATGTATTTCCCCTAATTCATGTTGTCTTGGTCTCTCCCTTCTTGACTGGGATCCTCAGGGAACTGCTGTAACTTGAACTCTGAGTGTTAAGTGATTGAGCTTATTTAAAGAAATAATTTTGACAGATTTTTTTCCAGGGAAACATGCTGAATTTGAGGTCCTATTCCTGACTCTGAATGGAATTGGTGTGGGGTTGCCCTGAAAAAAGCTCAGCCAGGCTATCTCGGGATCATCTTAGCAGCTGAAGCAATATGAAGTGCATGTAGGAAGATGAGAATGGTGCAGGGAATGTTATTTTTCAGAGGTTTGTGGTGGAGTGTCACAGCAAGTGCTGGGGAAGTAGCTGTCTCTGACAGGGGTCAGTTGGGCTTTGCTCCTTAAGGGGCTGTAAAATTGAGGCAAATTCCAAGTGGGTGATACAGAATGGATCTCCTGCCAAACTGAGGCTTCTGTCTCTCTTTTGGTCAGAAAGTTTGGTTGTTGAGGCTTTGGAGTGAGAAGGATTTAGGCATGGAGCTACATAAGCATCACAGCTTGCCTGTCTCATGTTGTTGCTCACAGGTCCCGCTCTGCAGATAGTGGGAGCATGAGAAGTGAAGATTGTTGATGCACATGCAGCCACTTGGAACTGGCTCCTTTTTGTCTTGCTCCTTGAAAGACCAGAGCTAGTGGGTCTGTAGCAGAGCAAGGAGGCACTGCCTTCTCAGCAGTGATCTGGCTGTGGCTTGTGTGAGAAGTATGAATTCCCTGTTCTTCACAGGGTGAAACATGGCTTCCTGTGGGGATTGCATGGATTTTAGCTTAGGTCTTCACGCTCTGACAAACCCAGCTCCTGGTACCTTTTTCTGCTTCTTGTCTTGCTGCTTGAGGCGTCTTCTACCTCTCCTAGCACAAAGAGTGTGCAATGGCCAAAGCAAACATATGCTGTCTTTGCTGGGGAGCAGGACAGGGTATCTGAAGCTGATTACGTAGCCTGTACATGGCATAGTGATTTTTAATAGACTCTGTTTTGCGCCTTAGATTTAGAAAGGGAAAATAAACCCAGAAGTTGTGCTAATAACTGGAAAAAGCAGTAAATCTTCTTGAGCAATGTGGGTGATGGGGTGGGTGCTGTTTCCTACAAGCACAGTTGTGCACTAGGCATGGGTTTGGTGTTTGTGTGGAGACTGATAAGCATCAGGACTTTCCTGCAGTGGCTGTGCCAAGCTGGGAGGCAATGGAGTGGGTCTCTGCCCAGGGGATGCCAGTGCAAGAATGAACTTGTGACTTAGATTGTCACCCCACTGCCCTTACTGGATGTAACTTAGATCTATGTAACACAAGGGCCTGTGTATCTTACAAAGCAGGCCTGCACTTATGCAGTCAGATTTAGTCTTAAGCTTTGCATAATTAAGTCAGGAAACAGGGAAGTCACTACAGGAAGAGAAAAATGGGAGGATTCTGAAATCAGTATAGAACATTCAGTTACAAAACAAGTCAATCTTGTGATGGTTTAAAGCCCACAGAAAAAAAATGATAGATGCTAGTGGAAGTGAACCAGCAACAAGCTACTGTCACTTAGTGGGGGCAGGATGAATTTGATGAAAATTGGAACTGAGAAAAAGTGTTCATTTTGTAGTTTGGTATGGGATTTCTTTTCTTCCACTGTTTTGGACTACCTTTCTGGGGGACTGGTACATGCACAGCTACTTAGATTCCTAAATGCATATCTCCTGTGCACACAGAGCAATTGGCAAGAACATAGAGATATTTAGTGGCAAGAAATAAAGGCATTTTATCCAGAAGCAAAACATTTGAGAGAGGCAAAACTGCATAAGGAAAATCTTGTGTTTAGAAGCTGCTGCCCTTTTGACTCTGCCTTTTTTTTTTTTTTTTTTTTTTTTTTTTGAGTTAATATATGGGTGGAGAAAAATGATGCAAGTATTTTTTTATCCCTTTTTCCTGGACTGGTAAAACCACTGAGTGATTATGTAAACCACTAAACTATGAAACAAAATGCTCTTGGCAATAAAGTGTGCTAAGAAGTTGCAGCTTGGCACCCTTATCCCTTGCCTTTTGCATCAGAACTGACTGGTGTGTTGCCGACTGGACTGATGCCGTTGTCTTCCAGTGGATCCAGAAGGGCTGGGGATTCTGGTTCATGCATTTCAAGAGACCAACAACTGTGCCTGGTAAAAGGCCCGAGTTTTGTTTTGTGTTTCACCTCATCTATAGTTTAATTTCTTATATTAACTTCTCAATGAGAAACTTTTTGTACACTTCAAACTATAACCACAAATCAAAGCCTGGCTTTAAAAATAAAGATCTAACTCTTCACAAGGAAATTCCTGGTTTTCCTATGCTAATTTGCAGGGTGTGAATAGATACTGGGAAAGCACCACTCTGTATTAACTCTTTGCCTGTTTTTATTCCCCAAGTTTTACAATGGCTATTGTGTGATAGCTTGTTGGCTTTATAGATCTGAGCTCTGATAAAGGAACTGCAGATCTGTCAAAAATACCTCAAAGTAGCCTCATTTTCCTTTTGAAAAGTTGAACCCATTTGCTTGAAATTCTTGCTGCTCATCACAGATTGCAAAGAATGAAGGAATTAGGGAAGATCACCTTTCCCACTGATGTAGAAAAAGGGCTGTGTCAGCTTGTGAGTGGCTTTTTGTTATGCAGTGCTGCCTTGTCTAGTTGAGACCCCACTCTTTTTGAAATCTCTGGAAACCTTGTGATTGGCTTTGGATTGGATATGGAAGGGTTTATAGTGATAGTGCTCACTGGAACTGTTCAGCCCCTTGTTCTGTGTGTACATCATGGCATGCAAAGCTACCTTCTGGACAGCCACTGCTGTCCACTGGGCCCCCACTTGCCAAGTCCGTAGGAGCAAGGTCACCTGTGGCTGTCAGTCCCTTCTCCAAAATGTGTGGCTGGGCAGCCCAGCAGGGGCCTGTCTGCTCTCCAGTGTATGGTGAGTGAGACAAAAATTCCTGTTCCTGGACAAAAATTCATCTTGTATCCATGTCCAACAGTCCTTACAGCATTTGCTGGATTCCTGCACTCCAGGAGTCCCAACCCTTGCCATTTCCACTGTTTCACATAAAGGGTCCGTGCATTCAGGAATCTACTTTTTTTTTTCTACTTCCTGTGTTATTATTTGCTGCTTGTAACAAGGCTAATGGTGACCTTATGCATCTAACCAGCCCCTAACCTGTACAACACTGTAGAGTTGTTTTGTGTACAACAGTCCGTGCCTATGGCATGCTCTGTAACCCACAATTAGTGTGTAGTGTAATTGGTTTGGTTTGCTGCCTGCCCTACTGCTAATTGTTGCAAGCTGATTTTCAAGGGCTAGGAGAAAATACTGACCACTATGTATAGGACCTAGGAATTGTTTTCTCATGGCTTCTTGGATGGCTGTGTACCTGCAACACTCAGACCAGAGGATAAAAGAGAATCTGCTGTCTGCTGGGGTGTTGCTAGTACTTTTATATTCCCCAGTGGTTTTATTAATTTATAAAAATTATCAAATAATTCACTACTTCCTTGGAGAAAAGAGCTTTCACTTTCACCAAAGTGGTTGTGGGAGAAATACCTGAAACTCTGTGTGTGTTTATTCCTTTGGGGGGGGGTCCATTTCTACTAAATATATGCTGGTTGGGGTGGCTAGCAGGGCTGCCAAAGTCAGAGGGCCTTGCCAACAGTTTTCTCAAGCTTTGATCTTGTCTTCTCCTTAACTCAGTGAGAGAATGGACCAGCTCACCTGGCTGCCATGTCAGCCAGCTTGTTTGTGCCAAACACATGCTGTGCCTCCTGTCCTCCTGGTGTCTGCCTTTCTGAGTGCAGCAGGACTCCCCTCTCCTCTCCCTCCTTCCCCTTGCCTGCTGCTGGGACATTGCTCCTTTTCCAACCTGCAGGCAGCTCCACTAGGACAGCACCTAACTGCATCCATCTCACTCTGTGGATCCACATCAGCTCACCTTCACAGGGAGGATGAAACTCTAGTTACAAACAGAAGACTTGGAAATATAACTTTGAAATAAATACCTCTCACTTCTGGGGTTTTCTCTTGTTCTTGAAAACAGCATCCAAAGCAGCTCTTTGAGCTTTGTGTGTCCTGGGACTCCACTGCTGCCACTGAGTTTTAGAAGACCCTTAAGCACACAACATAGGCGGAGGTCCTGTGGAAATTACTGGTGTCAGAGCAGCAACTAGACCAGCAATAGCATACAGAAGTTATGTATTTACATAGCAATGTCACTAAGTAGTGTTCACAGTCACTTTAAAAGTTCAGTATTAAATTGTTGATGCTTTTTTTTTTCCCCTCCTGTTTCTATTTTCTAATGTTTTGCTGAAGAAAATGTAACTATTTATTTTGGCAGAAATATATCTTCTAATAAAAACTTTCTCAGTATATTTACCTGGCTCTGGTAGGCTGCTTCTTTTGCCGTTTAAAGGTTTATTAAATATTTTTTGGATGTGCTGTATGATGCAGGTTTGTTTTGCTAGGCCTAAGCCCATTCAAGTTCCTCTCAGGGTCAACATTTATCAGTACACAATTGAAGGGGCATTGATCTGGAGGTGGAAAATGGGTGCATTTTGGTCCAGGTCGGATTTACTCAAGCCTAAATACCTTAAGTGCTGTTAGCCTCTGTTTATTGGAGCTTTGTGGCACACACGGGTTTCCAGGAGGAATTAAGCACCCTCTTGTGGGAATAGCAGGTGTTTATCACTTGTGGAAGGGTTAGTAAAAAGTCATTCACAAATTTAAAACTCCTCCATTACAGGATCACCTCTTGAGGAAACTGACCCCTCTTTCTAGAGAGTCCTTGCTGGTGAAATAGACGGTACTGGCTCTTGTGTGTCTGCCTGTTAGGACAGATACCGAGGTTACTGCCCCGGTTACACTCCAGCCGGAGCGCACGGAAACCACCGGCCCTTGGGCTGGGGGAATGCCGGGGCTTTTCTTTGCCAGCCCAGGGATGTGGGCAGGGCCGCCCTGGAGCCGCGGCTGGAATGGCCCGGAGCAGGGCCGGGAGCCTCACACAGGCTGCGGCTTGGAGCTGCGCGGGTCTGGCGGGCGCCACAGGGCTCGGGCTCCTCTTTGTCCAGGCTTTTGACAGCCGGAAACTTTAGGAAGAGACTTCGTTATGTGCTGTCACGTGACGGGGACAAGTGCTGTAATTAGCATTCTAGGCTGCAGCTGGTAAAGCAAACAGCTTTCTTAACCTCTAATGACTGCAAAACAACAAAACCCCCGGCCCGGTGCCGTTAATCAGTGAAATGAATCCTTTTTCTATAAAGCCGCCCGGGCGCTGCCTGCGGCTCTGCCGGGGGAGTGGCTGTGAGCGGGGCTGGGTGCGCGCCTCTCCTGCCCCTCAGGGGTGCTAGTGCTGGGGGTAGAGCTGCTTCTCCCGAGGGGCCCGGCTCCCGCTGCCACCCGCCCGGCGGGCCCGGCCCTGCCGCCCGCGGCCCCACTCATTTCCGGCCGAGGCCGCCCCGGCGCCAGCGGCGGCTCCGCTCCCGCCAGGGCGGCCGCAGGTGCCGCTCGCTCCCGCCCCGCCGGGCCAGGTAAGCGCCGTGAGGGGAGTCCGGGGCGGCAGCGGTGGCAGCGGGGTGAGGGTGCGGTGCTCCGGGGCCGATCCCCTCCCCGGGGCAGCTGCCGGCTCCCGCCGCCGAGGTGTCGGGGAGCGGCTGCCCCAGTGAAGGGCCCCCGCGGCTGTGGGGAGAGGCCAGCGGAGGGCTGGGGGCCCTGCGTGCTGTGGGCTCCTCGCCGGGCCGCAGCCACACACCTGGCCCGTCCCCAGCTGTCGGAGATCCTTCGCTGGTGACAGGGATGTGGAGCATCCGCGCTCCTGTGCGATGCTGTCTCCTCTCGCACACAGCGCTCCTGAGGCGTAGCTGCGGCCGCGCCACGGGATGGGGAGCACTGCCCTGGGGGGGTCCGGGACAGGGAGCTGCTGCCTCTTTCGCCTTTTCTCCCCTGTCTCTGTGAAGTCTGCAGGCTCCTTTGATATGCGGTCATGGAACTTTGGTCTTTCTTGTTGAACCTGAGTAGAGACCTTGTTATTTTCTCTCTTCCTTTTTCCTTTGTTTAGGGAATATTCTTTCTTGTCGTGGTCTCGGTGCAGATGACACTGCACCATATCAAGATGCCTCAGGTTCCTACAGCAGCTGTGTTGGTGCTGCTTCTCCTTCTCTAGAGGGAAAAAAATACCAGAGCTTTCCCTCTCCCAAGACTGCGGCCTCTTTCTCTTTAATATCTCTCACTCACGGGATGCACTTCGGTGAACTTGTGTGTTGAACCTAAGTCCTTCCTGTAGGACTTCCTGAAAACAGCTGAGGGGAAAAGAGGTCAGCCTCACACACAGGGAGATGGCTGTGCTCAGGAATATCCTGAGGAGGCAGGATAATCCAAACACAGCTTGCTTGTTTAGTCGTGACCTGTTGAGTTCTTGCTTATTCTGATGGTTGCTCTGCATCAAAGGGGGCTCAGAAAATCTTAATTTCTAGCTTTGCCTTTATGCAGGCTCAGGGGCCATTGTATCTTATTTTTCATGTTCTAGGGTAACATTTATTTCTGAGAATCACCTAACTAGCTATATATAGATAAAAAAATATATATATACACACTTATATCTCCTGAGGGCTATGGAAATTGCTTTTCTTGATCAAGAAGATAATTGCTTCAGGTGGTCTAGAGGAGGTTCTGAAAAGCTGCAGTGAGCTGGGGTGGAAGAATCCTCTCTTTTCCAGGACACCGTGTTCCACAGAGAGTGATGTGAAGCCTGAGATAAAATTTTGGAATCCTTCATAAGATGGTATAAAATGTCTTTGAAGCTACCTTGCTGGGCAAAAAATATTCTCATTCCCTGGAGCATCATTCTTCTCTTGGCTTCCTGCGGCAAGCTATAGTGGGGAGTGTGAAGTATCCATTTGGAAAGTCTGCTTGGTTGTTTTGTTACCATCAGACAGGAAAATTTCTCCCCCACACCCCAGTTTGATGTATCTGATGAATCTACAGCCTCCAGTTTACTGACCTGAAGATGGTGCTGCAAAGGAGGGCTCCACATGGGGCTGTCTTTAGCAGCACACAGACAGTGCTGGGGAACTGCTGTTCCTCGTGACTTTGCCAGGCAGCCTCAGAAAATGAACTATTGGGATGAGGACAATTGACAGCAACAGAAATCACATGGGCTCAGCTCCATGCACAATGCTCTTCATGGTCAGAGAGCTTTAAGGAAATTGATCCCTACATGCGGCAAATGAGGTTTGGTTTCCATAATGCAGCTACTCACTCTCTAAATCTTTTTTGATTTCATAAGGCTGCTCTGGGGACTGAATTCTCCCTGCTCTCCTCCCCTGCTTGCAGGAGCTCATCTTGGATTTAAGTACAGTGACAAGAAACTTCAGCTGTAGTAAATGTGTCATCTTCCACTGAGTGGAGCAGCATCTCCTTCCTTCCTGCCAGGTGCCTTGGCTTGCTTGTGGCTTTGTGTGAAGTCTGAGGTGGAAATACTTGGTTTACTCTGCAGGTCTGAATCTCTTGTGGTTGTTGTTCTCCTAGCAGAACAGCAGAATTGCAACAATGAGTAAGAGCTTCTGTCCCTTGTCACTGTGTATCCTTAGAGGTACCCCATAGCCCAGCAGCTTGAAAGGGAGGTACTGATTGACCCTCTTAATATTTTCCTAGCAGTGTTCTCCTCATCCTGCACCCCAAGCCTTTAATTTCTTGCCTGAGGCTGAGGAGAATTTCCCTCCACATGGCCTTAATGCATATTTTGCTAAACAAACCTGACCTCTGCAGCTGTGCAAGGAGCACCAGGGTGGATCTACTTAGTATCTACTAAGTATTCCCATGGGCTTCTGCTGTGGCAAGGAGTACCATGTGCTCCTCTCCAGCCATAGGATCAAAAGGTTTTCCAACCCTAAGCTTTTAAATAACCGCCAGCCACACATTTAAAAAACCCCAAACCACAAAATTACATAATTTCTTGTTTTTCTTTTAAATAATGTTCTTAATTTGCTTTTTCCTGCTGATTTCTGATTCTCTTGGAGATTTCTGCATGTCTGTATAAGCTGCCAGGAATGCTTGAATCTCAGTATTTCACCTGACTGCAGGACCTAAGTGCCTCAAAAGGAATAACAAGTATTGTGAGCTTTGGGAGAAAACACCCAAAGTAGAGGTGTGTTGTGGTACTGTGGACTTTAAAATGAAGGCTGGAGCCATTCTGGGCTTTCCTGTGCTCAGTTCAGGATTGGAGTAACATGGCTGGGAAACCCTGTTGACTTCTTAACCAAATGTTTTTCTCTTAACCTTGTGTGACAGAGCACTAGAGCAGAAACAAATACAGTCTTGTGCTCTCAGAGACTATGGCTTTAATCTAATCATGGGTTTGTTTTGGAGGAAATGAGATATGGTGCAACACTTTGGAAGGGTACAGTGTTCTTCTATGCTTGGCATAACTGGAGGAAAATCTGTCAAGTAAAAAGAGTGAGAGCAAGGAGGCTTGTAACATCCCTGCTTTCTATCCAGTGAAGTGTGTAATTGCGGTTAATTTAGCAGAGACCACATCTGAAGGAGCAGCTCTTGCCTCTGCTTCTGTGCCTTCAATCTCTGCTGGTATGAGACTTTGTATCACTGTTCTGCACCAGTTGCTGCCCCGTGTATGTGGAAGGGACTGCCTGGTTCAGAAGGGTGTCTGAGCTTTACACATACCTGAAAGCCCTGCAGGAAAGGCTTGTGTTGTTCTGGGGATGGCAGGAGAGCTCTGAAGATGTGCCTGGGAGCTGTGAACCTCCTGAGATTTGCTGTGGTGATCCAGCACTGTATGGGCTTGGGGCTGGCTTGAGCTTGTGCTGTTGGTACAATCCTGGCAGATGTGAAGGTGTCCTTGCTCACAGCAGGTGATGTATTATGGGCTGAGCAACCTGTGTGTCTGGAGAGATGAGACCATGAATAAGGGGAAAGCTCTGAAGACCTACCCTACAGCTTTGTGAAAGAATAAGCTTTTAGTACATGTGCTGGATGAAAGTAAAGCAGTGTAGTGAAGGCTTGAAAAAAGCCTAATTATTGTAACTGTGCAATAAAGGTAACATATCTACCTGTTTATTGCTTCCTACTTCAAGCTCTTCCAATGAATACCATGCAGGATATCTGCAGTCCTTTGGAGGAATAGCTGTGTGCTGTTAAAAATAAAATTGTGGAATGCCTAAATATGTCATTTAGGCTATGGAAAGCAAACCTTTTGGGAAAAATTAAGCTATATTTCGGTATAGCTAGGTGAGTCAAGCCTCTGGAAAAGGAGACAGCAAACTTGCAGGTTAGCTATAAACCCTTGGCTGAGCATGGTGGGAGCTGGGCAGAGGTTCAAGTGCAGGGAGGCAGATTTAGCACATCCTACAGCAACTTGGTGGCTC